ATCCAGGCAATTCTACAATTTTTGGGTGGGGGTGCCATATGGAACTCTTTCCCAGATAAATACCTTTCAAAATTATAGAAACTTCTGTTTGTAAGCACAAGATAAATGATCAAAAATGTTTTATGAAATAATAATTAAAAATACTTAAGAAAATTCCAAAACTAGGTATAGGGAAAACGTTACTGTGCCCAACCATCCACATTACTGAAAATACCAACAAAACAAAGCTTCCAAAACCACCTACAGTAAAAATGACCTAAAACACCCTGACAATATCTATTGTAGACTTATTTTGAAACAGACCTTTAGAGAAAAAAACAATTTCGCAGCAAGCTTGAAACATCCTGATATAATCAAAAAAAGAAGTGTTGTTGTTTGCTGACTGCTACTGAAAATCTTCAAATGTTTAGAAAATAGAGTGGTATATATATGCATTTTAGCCACAAACTGTATGAGCCTTCATTCAATTTTTTACAAACTCTTAGAATGGTATTTAAACAAACGAATAAAATAATAAGTAAAAGATGTTTTGAGTTCTGAAACTTCAAATTATTAAGTACTTAAATCCCAGATTAAAGAAGCTTTTTAGTAAGGTACTGATGTTTGCAGAAAATGGAACATTGTATTTTTCAGTTCATTAGATTTTACTTTTTTCCTCCTTTTGCATGGAATATCTAAATTAACATACAATAACATCAGATAACCAACACAAACCTGTCACTTTAATGGCCCTTAATAATCCCTGCCTATAAAGTATAATGAATTAATTCATGTCAAATCAATCAGTAAACTACTTCAAATATTTTTTATTACAGATATCAAATACTTAAAACTAATTATATTCCCAAAACCACAAAATACCTTTTATGACTGCAAGAAGAAGCCTATTTCAGTGGTTATAAGAAATAAAATTTAATGAACTTTTTTCTCACTGTATCAGCTATATTTTGTGGCTAAAGGTCCATCGTTCATTTTAAACTTTTTTTTTGTTCATTATCATGCATATTCAATATCCTTTCTAAAGTTTATAAAGTTAGTAGTTCAGAGAATTAATTGATGCATTTCTGGTGAAATTACTGATTTCATCTAAAAAAAAAACAGCTTTTCTTAAAACTAGAGTCCATTATATCAACTGTCTAATATGAGAAATGATCATAGCCTATAGTTTTACTACCTCATACCAAGTCATAATTTTATTAATTACTTAGTGGTGGATTAGCATACTAATTTCAAAATTGGATGTTTTTTACCAATAATATACAATGATAAATACTGAAACTTAAATGTGGAATAAGATGACTTTCAAATTACGTTACAGTAATAATAGTATTTCTAATACCACTACTAGGTTACATGTGTTACAGTATTTGCAGTATGACCAGATTTTTCTTAGAAATTTCTGTACTTATTTCTTAACGCGTTGTATTTTATTTTTCCTATATAATATTACACAAAAACTAACATTAAAACAATAACATAAAATAAGCCGAACACAAATAGTGCATGCTTAATCTGGTATATTAACTTTTAATTTTATCAAATATATTTATTACGATACATAAACATGCCTACGGCGAAATCCTAAAATTAACGTTCTTGGTATCACTGGCATTCGAAAGCATTACGAATCGAAGTTTAATGCCTCCTTCTCAGCTTTGCCTACTGAAACAATGAACTTCCCGATCATACTTACCAGGCATTGAGTAGGTCGAAACGGACGCAGGGCTGGGTACCGATTCAGCCGAAACACAAGCCTTACAGGCACCATGGAGGCAAGGTAGTAACCTTGGCTCGTTTCCTTCTTTGAGTTCTTGCTTGCAGAAAACACATTTTGAGTCTACCCATTCCGGCGTTTCATTACCGCTAACTTGTTCAATTTCAGAAGTAGAATTAGTTTCCATTGCTTTGGCAATTTATGTCTCTTGCCACTGTGACTAATACGGTATTCAGTTGTTTTATCAATACCGGTAAGTTAGGTTCTTTTATCCCCCGACCAGAAATATGTTAAACTAGACTTACTAAACAACCTACTATAGCACCCCCCATTACAAATGTCCCTTACAAACTCCTTTAAATTATAACCGCTATGATCCACCAACTGATAAAAACGCCCTCTTTTAACAAAACAGTGAACCACATATGATTACTACTTTACGTTGACGAGGAACCCATTTGGAGAAAGTCGAAACGTTGTTTCTTGATTTTAAATAAAAGTTTTTAACACCCATATCAGCCGTCTCTACTAGGTATATGTTTACTACTTATCGAGTTTAACTAAGAAATATGAAATAAATCTAGTTACTCATAACTTCGTAAGCAGAAAGGTGTCACAAAAGATAATGTTGCGTATCTTCTCGTTCGTTAATTTCCGGTATAAATTCTTTCCGAGGAACTTCAGCGATACAAGTTCTTTCTTAATTAAAACTAGGTTATTCTTTCTCGATACAACTTTGTAGTACACAGAATTTCCACAGTCACTTTAAACTTAATTACTTTTATAACACACGCTATGAATCACAGTGATTCACACACTTTACTTACTGGAGTTGCTAGGAAAATTCATGATCCTTCCAGAAACTCCAGCACGCGTGCTCCCAGAATCGCGTGACTTCCGCTGTTGTAACACTGCCCCTTCCTTAGTATTGTTCGTCCCGAACAATAGCCATTTACATTAAACCAATAAACAATAACTCAATTAAATGTACAGAATTTACGAAACCCAAAATTAAAATACAACAAAGTCTCTTAATTTTACACGACGTATCTTCTTCTGTACTGGTCTCCGTCTCGTTGGCTTCTGCTTCAAGTGGAGTTCATCTGCTCCATCAGGAAATGTTCCATTATCGGTAACAGTCACATAAGTTGTAGTAACTTTATTAACGGCTTCACTGTTTCCCTTCTCTAAATCGGGTAGAGTTTCTTCTTCGACAGTGGCTCTTTCAGGTGACACGTCTTAAGCAGCGTCATTTGTTATAACTGAAATGTCTTGGACCGTGGTAATGCCAAAGCCTGTTGGCATGTGCCATCTTCGGATACCTCGCCGACCACATTTTATTCTGAAAGTCACGTCTGAGAGACGATCCACTATGTCATACGGGCTTTCCCATGGAGAAGACAATTTAGGAGACTTCCCCTTTGGTCTTCCTAGGATTATACAAGCATACCTTGTCTTCGGTAGATCTCTTATCATAACATAGCATCATGGAATCAGCAGAAGTTTTTAAGTTTGAACGCAATTGATGATGAATATCATCCATCCTTTCAGATAACACTTTCACGACCTCTGGCACATTTTCAGGTAACTCTTCATAAGGTGGGTGTCCTGTTAACAGATCCACTGGCAACCGAAGTTCCCGACCAAACATCAGATTTGCTGGAGTGTATCCAGTGGCTTCATGCTCTGCTGTTCTATAGGCCATCAACAATGGAGGGAGTAAGACATTCCAGGCATCTTGGCAGCTATTATAAAACTTTGCCATTTCCTGTCCCAGTGTCCAATTGTACTTTTCTACCATTCCATCAGACTGTGGGTGAAGT